AATCAACCAACCAACAAAAAAAAATCAAAAGAAACCCAAAGAAAAACAAAAAAAAAAGCAACAAAAAAAAAARAACACCAAAAAAAAACCACCCCAAAAGAACCCTCCTGTGCTCTTTGTCAAGTTATCCCACTTAAATCTTTCTGGTGAAGACTATTGACACTTGACTATTCCCTCTAAGAGGCTTTTGTATTTTAGAAATTGATTGTCAGTTAAGTTTGTTACAAGGTGATATTTGATTAGCATAGTGCTATACAAAGCCACTTCCCTTGTTAACTCCTACAATTCTCGACCACTACTCCACTATCTGTGCCCTGTTTGGGGGTCACATCCCGTCCGCTCCTGCAGTAGGACAGCATTTCCCGCTCTGAGCAGTTTTCATGGAAAAAAAAAAAAGTTTTAGAAAGAGCTACTGATAGAATATTCACAGTGTTGTACAGGAAAGGTGGGGTGACACCAGGGAAATGAGGGGAGCTCTGGGGACAATGGGGCCACAGCTCACCGGAGCTCCAGCTAGTGTTTAATACACTAGAGGCTTGGGAAAACTCTCTTCATTCCCTTCCCTTTCCAGACTAAAGCAGTGCGTTGAATACCTTGCTTCCATTTCCATGAATTAACATCTGATCCAGTCTTCTCATCCTTCCCTATTCCTCCCTGCAAGTGTGGGGCATAAGGTGAGGAATATGTTGCTGCAAGAACATACAGATGCACGTTATTCTCCTCCCAATTCAGCTTCTAAAAGACCTTATTCAGAAAAGTCTGTTTTGCCACTGAGGATTGCTCTTGCCTGTGCTAAACGTCAGCTATGTCACACAAACATAGAAGAGCCATGCCTTATTTGAACTGCCACACTCCTCTCCCCTTCCAATATTCCTTGCAGCACTTGCCCCGTGACAACACAGCCCTGGAAGCTGTCTGGTGTCAGCTTTCTGCTCAGGCCAGTGCCTTAGGAGAGAGCCCAAAGAATCAGTCTTAAGCATAAGGTATGACAAAATTCTACTCTCAATCCCACCTGGGCACTTCCTCCAACAGCACAACCCTGGCTTAGGATACCTTCTAACATGTGAGAAAAGTGCCTGCATGCCACCTACACCCTCCTTCCCTGCATCTTTGTCAGAGATCCAGGCTGCCCTGTAAACAGCCTCTGCAAACAAACATCAGCTGAAAGAACCCTCTGGGCTGGGGATAGCCAACACGGGGCTGGGGCTTCACGCCCCTTCCCAAAATTCAATCTGTCAACAGGAGAATTGCACTGCCCACCTCTCATTAGTGTCACCCACAGCTGCCACCCTCCCTCCTCCCACTGGCCTCCTGCAGCCAAGAGTTGCGTTCGGTTACCAATGGACAGGCAAGGAAGGATTCAAGGAAAGCTTCACAGTAATCCAGAGAGTTTCCTTAGACATGGAAACTCTCCTAAAATTCTATCGGGGGCACAAACCCCCATATCAAACCAATGCCCAAGACGCGTAGATCAACAAGCGGACTCCAGGGAAACCTCAAGAAACAGCTTTTGAAACTTGACCAGATGGGTAACCAAATAAATGGCATTATCAAGATAAAATTTGTTTCTCTCAGGCTAGTTTTGTGACTCCTCCCCCTGCCCCAGACTCAGTAATTTCTGTTGGAATTCTAATGGAAGCATCCTGCCCATGGCAGGGGGGTTGGAATGTGATAAGCTTTGAGGTCCCTTCCAACCCAAACCATCCTGTGATTCTGTGATTTGAGTAAATAATTTTAATTGAATTTTATCCTTTTATACTGCCACTCTCTGTATTTTATGACCAGCAGTAAATTAATCAATCCAACTTCATTTTTTATTGCTCATTAGTTCCACAGTTTCATAGCCAATGGTATTAGGTCTGACTGCAAAGGTAATGGGTAGATTTAAATAAATGAGCCTCACTGCAGTATAAAAATAATGCAGCCATTTCACCACAGATCTGAGGGGAAGAGTGTTAAGTACATTAATAAAAACTAAGCTGAAGGCTTAACATAGCTGACAGTCGGCAAAAAAATTAATGAACTGATTTGGTTTTAAGTATTGCCTTAGGTAACTGCAGTAAAATAATAGATCAGAATATGTCAGATTAAACAAGGAACTTACACAGCAGTATTTAAGAACACCTGAATATGTTTCAAAAGCTTAACTGATACGAACTAGGAAGCCTAATAAAGCTGCCTGTTTTACATAATACTTAAAAAACATAACAAAAATACAGCTTGGCACAGTCCAACAGAAACAGGAACTTGGAAGCTGCACTCTCCCAGGATGGAGATTGCTTAGCCTCTCTGGACAGCCTGATCCAGTGCTGTTTGGCTCTAATCAAGGTGAGACAATGTCTTATCATACCTAACCTGATTCTTGTATAAACTGCTGCCTATTGCTGCTCCTCCTTTCATTGTGTGCCTCCAGGAAGGGTCTGGCTTCATCTTCTCTGCACCCTCCCCAGAGCTGTGGAGTTTAAACAGGAGAAATTATGTAGGTACAGGAGAGAGCACTCAAATAAAAACACGCTTCAGTCTTCTACACTTGCTAGAAAAGCTAACACTCAAAAAATGGCACTTTGAAGACTGGTACTGACCTTTCCACCCTTCACTTCCCACCCTTCAGTTCCTTCCAGTGGAGCTTCTGAAATGCTCACAGCATATCTGCCGCCACAGGGGACTAACCCATTCTATGCACAGCTCCAGCATGGAAAACACTGGTACTGCTCAGCTCTCACATGCCCGGATAAACATCTTTGGAGACCTGTCTCGCAAGGCAGCAGCATTTCCTGCACGCTCCTGCCCCTACACAGGTTCCAAATCCAGAATTTCCCTGCCCACAGCATCCATGGCACACCAGACACACGCACTCCTCTTCCCAGTGATGCTTTGCTGCTGTCCCACCTCTGTACCTGACCTCCTGTGCAGTTCCACTGCCACCAGCCCCAGATGAGCTCTCATCTTATTTCAGTTGTCTTCCTCCTCCCCAGAGGGAGCAGAGCTACTGCCAAGCCTTCAGGACATGTTAGAGGTGACTTTGTTCTTAGCACTTGCTAATTCCTTGGAAAGGTAATCATTCCCTGGCACAGAAAAATCAGCAAGATCTTATCTTTGAACCCATTATTTCTTCGCATTGGTGGCGCTAGAACATGCACCTTCACAGAAGTTACTAAAAAACCTCAACCACTTCTAGACATCAGTAAATAGCAACGGCTCATTTCCCAAAACCTTAAATTAGACACTAAACACATCAGTGGCTGGTTTGTGGCTTCCTCCCCAGCTCCCAGCTCTGCCAGATCACAGTCTGATTCGCTGTCTTGTCCCCTTTTATTTCTAGCTTTGCCAGAATATCCTTGTTTTCCTACAAAACTGTTAAGGACCACAAAAAAACACTTTCAGAAGGACCCACCATTCAACTTTACCCAGCAAGTTTCAAATATTTTCAAGGCTGCAACTCCCCAGCAGCACAAGCTCCTAAGTCTTACTAGTATCCATGCTTTTGTCACTAAACACCTTTCAGAATTCCCACCTCAAAAAGGTTCCCCCCATTTCCAAGACACATCATTTCACAAGCTGTAATACTTTGGTTTACAACTGGATTAAAATATAAATTAAATAAGAATAATGCTAAATGAGTTTATATTGAAACACTTTATATTTGTTTATATATACGTATATACAGGTATGTGTGTGTGCACTCCTTAATGACAGCTAGAGGAAGGAAAAGTCTTTCTCTGAAGGCTTCTACTCTTCCAGCTAGCATGGTCAACTTATCCATTGCAACAATTCCCTGTGCATAAAAGCTAATGAAGCACTGGAAGGTGGTGCTGGTGACCAGCCGGATCACACAGACGTTCAAGAACAGAAAGACAATAAATTATAAGAAGCAGTAGTAACTTGTTCACAGTTGGGATGAGGATAATGTCATGGGAAACCTGAATTGTCTACAGTCCTAGGAATAAAAAGCCAAAGATCACTGATACACTGCAGTTAATCCTAAAAGCAAAGATCAGTTCTGACACAAAGAAATAGCAGAAACAATGTGGAATTTCTCCCAGCAGCCTAAACTCTGGTACCATTAGATTCAACAGAAAGCTTTCAGATACCCCCATCAAAAGCAGAATTGATCCCAGAGATGAATCACTGCCTCTGATCACTGCCTCCATCACCTTGAAGCCAACTCAATCCTACATCCAAAAGAAAATGCTCCCAGTCCTTTCTTGATTCTATTAGCCCAAACATTGCATTCAATCTCTCCTAATTCTCAGCCTCTGTGTTTCCTTACATTTGCCAAGCCAAAGCCTTTCAGCAGATGGAAATATTTCAGAGATGGCAGGACTCTTCAGATAATTTTATAACCCACTTGAGTGGGTTCCAGGTTAGGAATAAACTGAATTTCTAACAAGATTAACTGCAGCAAAACTTTGGTCCGCTGCATTTTATAACTGAACCACAACAAAAAAACCCCACAAGTCTACTCCAAATCTACTCTATTCCAAAATGTTCTGGTAGATTTCAGTTTCAAGAAGCAGCCAGTATTATTTGCATAGTTCTATTTGGTTACAAATATATATATATATAAATGTACATACATGTGTATGTGTGCATTCTATATTAAAAAGTACTTTGAATGACAATGACTGAAATTGGGATTCTGCGCTCCTCTTTAGGCCCTTTCACTGCAGATGTCAAAACTCTGTGCATGGCTCTCACCTTGTGAAAGGAGCAATGCTCACCACATTATTTGCTATGCCGGTCGATCCCGACTTTGCAACTGCAGTCCTGGCCACAGGCTCAGTTCCCAGGAAAAATGAGAGTCCAAACCTTGGCAAAAAGTCTCCCTGAATTACAGTTTCTTGGCTTATAGAATGGTGTGGGTTGGAAGAGTCCTTAAGAAGGCCATCTAGTCCAACCCTCCTGCCACAAGCAGGGACTTCTCCCATCCCCAAAATATTTCCAGCAGAGCAAGAACAGCCTTTGGTGTCACAAATCTGCAGAAACACTTGGATGCTGGCATGGCTAATTAGCAGGCATGTCGCAGATCAAAGAGAAGAATTTGGTAAAGTTCAAATAATTTCAAGTGCTATTTTTGGATCGTTTTCAAGATGCATGATCCCATCTATCCCTCAAGCCACATTCCACCCAAATCAATGCCACCTTTGCAGCTGCCTTTCTATCTATACATTGGATTCTGCAGTAGAGATGAAGTCAGCAGCAAATAAAAGCTACAACTCTGCTCCTCCTTAGGGCTGAATCACCAAAAGGACCAAGAACTCTGCTCTAGAACCACACTGCTTGGAATCACTTCTTGAAATGGGCATCTCCCTGTTTAAGTGACATTCCTACTGCAGAGGTGAGGGATAAAAACAGCTACGGAGCTGTCACAAAACCAGAGCAGGAGAAGAGGGAGAGCTGTCCTGTCCATTTATTTCAACCTTGAGCTCACAGAGGGATGAAATCCTGGCTGTGTGCCCTCTGTGCTGAGCTAGCCTCGCTTTTCAGCAGGGCCACAACTTGTTCTCAGTGCTATTCCAGCTCTGGCGAGTTGTCAGATGGGAATGGGATCAGGCGCTGTCGCCCTCACTGGGTTTGAAACAGCAGCAGACTCACAACACGCTTTCTGTTCTTCCTGCCTTTCAGAAACCCCAACTAAAGTGAAATTATACAGATCACAGCTTGAGAATATTGCAGAGAAGATGTAGGAAAGTCCAAGGACTAAACCTGATGGTGGATGATGCTGGGAGAACAAGGAGGGACCACCCACCTGCACCGGCTGCTCTGGCTCTCACCAGGCTATCCCTGGATCTTACTAAGTAGCTTCAAGCATGTTCTCAGCCTCCTGTTACAAATTAACATTCCATAAAGCCTCTCATTCATCGCTCTCTAGCTGTTGGAAATACAAAGCACAATTTGTTTTCACGTCCTCCCATTGCATTTTGGCCTTCTTTTCCCAGCTTCATATTGGTCATCTCTTCTGAGGTTTAGCTTTTCTCCAAAGCAGCAACATAATTCCTGTTATTTTCACAGCTATTCACAGGGAAGCTGGCAGCAGCAGGGAACAGCCTGGAACAGCAACCATCACATCACTCTGCTGAGACTTGGCACCAGGGCTTGCTGCAGGCTTAAGGAGRTAACTACAACTCTTCACATTTGGGAGGTGAGTTCTTTGACAGCAAAGAACTAAGAAATGTGTCCGCATCCGAGAAAGCAAACTGTAAAACCAGAGTGTATTCTCCCTGTTGCCTGAGGCAAGCAAACAAATGGGTTAGTAAGCCCTAACTCTAAAGCAGACAGAAATGTTACGTACAGAGGTATTAAATGATGAGAGTTCTCTTCACATCCTCCTTAAATCACAGTTGAAATCACAGTTTTGGCAGAAAAAGATGCAGCTAGACGTGGGAATGCAAAGCTGTGCCTCAACCCATCACAGAAGCATTTGCACTTGGAAAGTTGGCATCTGATTCTCCACAGCTTTGGTGCAACTGTAAAGAGCCACACCAACGCAGAGACAACAGAACACGGTATCATTCTGACAGGGAAAGCACCTCTAAGTAGCTACACCACTGCCAGAATATTCACATGAGGTTTCTCCATACCGTATGTGACCTCCAACCCCTTTTTTCTTGAACCTTGGTCTCAGCTGCACTGAAGAAGTCAACCATTGAAAGAAATGTTTAAGAATACTTCCTTCGGAACTGGTTCCACTGTCTAGTGCAGATGGGCCTGAACTGCTTTCAGCACTGTTCAAGAGATATTAGACATCGTGATTCCCACACATACATACACATACACATCCATTAAATGTACAGAAATAATATCAAAATGATTCCCACTACCATACCTTATATTGACTCTACCTACAAGCTATAAACTTCAGCTCAGCGAGGCCTGGGCAAGAATATTGGCTCTTTTGCATGCAATCAGAAATGATAATTTATACAGTGGCAACCTCTGCACAACAAACCCCCCCCCAAACAAAACCCAAAAGCAAACATAAAGGAGGAAAAAATAAAAACCTTTCACAAGCTTTGTTTTCAGCCCAGTAAGGTATGAAGGACCAATGTCATGGTTTTCACTAGGCCACTTAATGTAGTGAATCAGCAAACAGGATGCTCTGTTGGCATCCCAGACTGTCTGGATGGTCCTCCATTCACAGTATTGATATAGTAAAACAAAAACCTGCTTAAGAAACTCACAGCTATGCCATGGGAACAAAGGCATTCACCATTTTATGTCAGCCCTTCTTCACTACAGTTGCCATCTGTCTCAGAAAAATGTTTGTGTAGCAGTTACTGCACCTTCACCCTTCTCTTCACAGCAAGCTTAACAGGGAAACTTTCCCACTATATTTTTATATAATATATGTATATAAATAATTTTATGTTTTTATAGTTTGGTAGTATTCTTTTAAAATTTCTGTTTTAAAACACTTAAAAATCTTTTAAGCAACTAAAAGCAACTTTTGATGCTCTCTAGTGTGAACAGGATAGGATTTCAAAGTTTTTAACTTTTTTCATTTTTGGTAACTTCAAAAGCTATGACTAAAGCAGCACATCTCCACTCCTCCCCACACCTTGATTGCAACAAAACCTACCTTGGCCACCCTCTCACCTCATCCTCTGCCACTGCTCTCTGGCAACCTCACTGTTTTGGTACCATCCTGTTTGACCTTTGCCAGGAAAACTGAAGGAGCTGGTTGTTTGGGTGGCCAAATCACTCCCTGTGTGATGATGCACTTGACAGGAGAGTAGGAAAAAGGGACAGAAGGAAAACGGAGGTGAAATATCAGTTCTCCTGTTTGAAATGGTCAATGAAATGGTATTTTGCAGGTGCCCAGCTCAGAACACCTGCAAAGGTTCCTCTCATAAGAGCACATCCCTGTTACACACTGAGCCCTTCCCCACACACAAAAACGCATTAGAGCCACATCTCTTTTTGAGAGACAGATGGGAGGAACAATCAGACTCCTCACATACRAAAAATCTGTAAAGCAAGACAAGAATACATCACCCTTCTCCAAATTATTCCCTTCAAAGGGGCAGGAAAATCATCCTAGTCCCAGTTTGCAGATGGGGGAAAGCAAGGGCTGGAGACTTTTCCATGTGCCCAAAACTGTGCAGTCACACTGCAGGTCAAGCTCTACTGCCACTTGGTCAGTCTCCTGCCTGCTAAGCCCCCACTCTAACAGTCATCCAGCTTCCTTGCTGAAGCAAGATGAAATGTATTTCTTTTCCAAGGTCTCCTTGTTCCTCCCATCACCTTAAGGTTCAGAACTTCACCTTCCTTATCATACACATTGTACATCCTCAAGAGAAATCCTTCACCAAACCCAACAGGCACAACCTGTTGTTCACTCCCCCCTACATTGTGAACAACTTGGCATCAGGACCAAAGAAAACTCTTAAAATATTGCATATTTCTTTTAAAAAAAAAGATGTCAGGATATTTGCACTTATCTGTCCCATGCTTTTCTGGTTATGAACCACATAAGCCCGTGCAAACACCAACAATACACACGCAGGCATGTCTCTCCAGGTTTGCTAAACTTGCTCTAAAACTTCAGAGCTACTTAGAGTACAAAAATCTCAAGTCCATGCAAGGGGACAGAGTTGTGATTGCTCTAGGAACCATTCACTTTTAAGTATCCTGAACTGTTATAAGAAATAGAGTAGGGTTTTCTTTTCTTTTTGCATTTCATTGATAAAAAAGTTATCAAACTAGTTTGTAGAAACAGGTTTAAAAGCAACCAGCCACAATTGCTCGGCTGTGGTGACAACATTGCAGTATTTCCATATCCCATATTGCTGTTCTAAAAGATCAAGTGCATCTCAAGAGGGGAGCAGGGGTGAAGGAGGACTTTGGTAGCCAGCCTCTAACTCCGCAATTCAGCCAGTCCATAAAAATCTCTTCCTAGCCCTTGGCAACAGCCAAAGCATGGTAGCGCTCCAGCCAGGACGTCAGAGTGTTCCGAGCTCTCCAGATCAGCACCAGCAGAGGAGAACCTCCTCTGAGAGACCCCTCCAGCCCTCCTCCCAATGCATCAGAGTCTCACACTAACCTCACAGCTGCTCAATTCCACTCTCAGTAGCTGAAGTGCTTCCTTCACATTTTGCTGACCCCTGGAATACCACTTTGTAGCTGTGCCCACTTCAACAAGGGGCACCGGGGCCACACACCTGGAACAGGCAAGCCCAAAGCCCTAAAATAACAGTTCAAATCAAAATGTAAAGAGACACACAAAAAATAAGACTGGGATAAATACGCACGGGCAAGGCAGCTTCCACCAGGACAGTCTTTTTGTTTTCTTTACCATGGCAACTACCTGGGGAAGGGAGAAAGGCAATGGCCCCCTTGCCCCTGCTCTCCCCTCAAGCGGGAGCAGTGGATATGGCTCTGTGGCTGAACCCGGCACTGCCGGTGGGATGCCCTGCTGGGCCACAGCGTTGTCCAAAAATACAAATGACTGCTCATCTCAGATCACTGTGGAACAGTAAAAAAGTTTAAAATCCTGTCGATCCCTGAATAAGAAGTTGATTGACACAGTTGTTCTGTTTTTCTCCAAGAGGAGGAGGAATAAGGGAGAAAAACATTTAACACTCTATGGGTGTGTGTGTGTGGGTGTGTGAGAGGAAGAGAGAGAGAGGAAGAAAGAGAAGGAGAAAGATTTTTCTATTTTGGCAACATCAGGGGAGCTTCTTTCTGTTCAGTGGTGGCATTGCACTAATTACAGTACCAGCCTGCCAGGTTGGCGCTGACTCTTTAGAGCCAGGAACGGGAAGACGGTCCTTTTTCCCGGGAATCCGCAGCCACGTCTCAATCCGGCCCAGTTGTGGACACAGACCCCTGGGCTGTCTCCCCCACAGCTACAGCCTCTTCCTGCGGAGGGGATTCCTCCTCTGCCTGCCCCCGCGACGTGACGGTGGTCTCAGGGGAGATGCTGTGGGGCCCCTCCAGGGGCAAACAGCCGGGGTGGTTCTTGCGAAAGTGCTGGTTGAGGATGGCCTGAAAAGGGAAGCTTTTGCCACACACGTGGCAGTGGAAGGGTTTGTTGCCTGTGTGCTTGCGGATGTGATATTCCAGCTGATCCTTGCGCGTGTACTTCTTCCCACACATGCGGCACACAAAAGGAGTGATGCCCATGTGGAGCCGCATGTGCCGGTCCAGGCTGCCCTTCTGGTTGAAGGATTTGGCGCAGTAAATACACGTGAGCCGTGGGTTGTACCGGAACCAGCGCTCTGAAACCTCCTGCTCCCTCAGATATTCCACGTAACCGCTCACTCCGAGCATGGCTGATTCCTCCCCCTGACAAGGAAATAGCACAGATTTAAATAACAAGCAGCCTAAAATAAGTTGCAGAGAAGATCAGGCCTGGGTCCAGTCAGTAAAGCATGTGCCAAACCTCGAAATCAGCAGCACTAATGTTTGCAACCTCAAGCACACATTTAAGTGCTTAACTGGGGCCTTGGGGCTGAAGATAAACAAGCAATCAATTATAAACCACCGCTGCAGAGGCCCCTTCTGCCAAGTCATTCCATGGATCTGGGGAAGAAAAGACAGCCCTTGTCACAAGGGTGCTTGGCCACCAACACTGTTGGGGACCATGTGTYGATACTTGTTACTTTTTAAAAAATTTGTGTTGGTTTGATTAAAACGCTTGGGTGTATCACCTTCTGTTTTTCTTACTGAAAGTCAGAAAAAAAGAAGCCAACTGATGAGCTTGCAGTAAAACACAGGAGGGGTAAACCACGAATGGAATGGTATCTGAAAGTCTTCAGGAGTCACTCAGGGTTCGTTTTACAATGAACATTTGCCTGCCTGACTGTGTAACCCAGCCCAACCCCGTGGCATCACAGGCAAGGCTGTGCCTGATGTGGCTTGCACAGCAAGGACTCCTCTGTATTTTCTGAAGCCGCACAGACAAACAGCCAAGGGCAACCTAAACTGCAAGCCTGGTCTCTGCACAGACACTTCTTGCCACCATATTCAGACTGAGCAGAAACAGACCAACTCCAAAATGCTTTTGTGCTCAAGGTACACTGTTTACTCTCCCAATGCTGCTTCCCAAGAGTGCCAAAAGTGGAGAAGCAACCAGTGTAACAGCAGAAGGGCATCTCCGCCAGCCAGGGCTCTGCAAGCATGAGCAGCAGTGTACCTGTGCCAGGTGCTGCTGAATCCAGCTGGACAGGCACAGGGAAGCTGCTCAGGACTAAAGGGGATACATAAAGCTCTGGTTCCTCCTTTCCACTCTACCACTGTCATTGGGCAGGGATCACGGGCAGGCTATTTTAGTAAGGATATGGCAATGCCAGGAGAGTGGAAAATGGTGATACTTCCCCATGGCGTGTAAAGCCTAAGTTTTCATGTTTGAAGCCACTGTGCAATGGAGAAGTAAGAGCAGCTTTTCTGTAGGCAGAGCTAAAATTTCTTAGTATGTCAAATTTCCCCTAGAGGGTTGGTTTGACCTGAAATTTTCTCAATGTCTTCTGAGGACACAAAACAAAGCTTTGCGAAACAGGAACAAAAAGGTATCTATTATTTCTGGAAGTGTCTAACAAAGACAGCAGACAGCCACCACAATTTTTCCCCTTTGCTTCACTTGGCAGAGCAGCCTAGTATCTCCTCAGCTGCCTCCAGCCAAGTCCTTTGCTTACGCACAGACACATTCCCTACCTGCCATGCTCATGAGAGTCCTGCACTGTTGGCTGACACACTGGCACTACAGTGCCACTGTGACACTGAGTGGAAGCAACAAAATCAGCCCYAAATGACAAGGTGCAGGTATTGCTGCCATGCCCCACTCTGCTGCATACTACAGCCCACTGCCCACCCATTTCTGTGCATCCTCCCTCCTACCCCAAAACKGTGCCCAGCAAAGCAGAGAATTCAGAGCTCCTTTATGTTGCAAATTCTGCTGGGCAACACAGTCACTTGGAGAAGAAACAGAGACCTCTCTACAAACCCACAGCTCTTGACACTCTASGGGTGGATAAACCTCTAGGGTTTATTGGTGTAGTGCCTGGATGGCTTTTAGGAATGGTTTTGGTACCAGCATAGAAAGGCTCAGCTGTTGTCACCCATCTTCCACAGAAGCCAAGCCACACCTCCTCCCCCAGCTCACGCATTTGCTGCCAGTGTTTGAGGGCAGAGGCAGCTCTGCAGGCAAACAGGGTTTCTCCTCAGGAGTTGGTGGCCTGCCCAGAATGAGGGTGGATATTTGTACTCTCAAACAACAAGAGAAACTCCTTGTGTTTTCCATGTATCTAGACCAAATCCCAAATAACGGGCAGAATCAGTTTTAAATTGCACACAGCCAGCACGTTCTCCTGTGAGCAAGTGAACCCTTTGCCAAAGTAGCAAATATAAAATATGACATACTTCATCCATCGCAACACAGTCCCTTTTACCTTCATGCCAACATTTACTCACAAACTTCTTMATCTGCCTACCTGGGAACTGGGCTGCTTGGGCTCATCCATCCGCCCGGGAGATTCGCTTTTTGATCTGTACCGCTCRGTCACAGCAACCATGCTACCAGAAGGGCTAAATCTGTAGGGTGYGGGAAGAATGGTAAATGGCATTTTTAATGGGCATCTGGTCACTGGGGCATTTAGAACAAYGGGTGAGCAACAGAGGCACCTCTATAGCATCTCTGCATCCCTCACCAGCTAACACACAGGAGGCAGAACAGTGCAAGGATAACAGAAAAACCAAATCATACCAGTCTGTGGTTTCAGTCTAAACATCTGGAAAATAAAACTGAGTCATTTGGCTTCCAATTCAGTGACAGAGAGTGGTTGCTATCATGAACAAACCAATAGGACCCTGGGAATTCAGGCACTGGGTGACTCTCAGCAAGACAGAAACCATTTCTCTGAGGACACCTCTCCTCTAGCACTCACACCCTCCTCCTCCATTCCCAGTGTGAAATGCAAAGGATGTGATGGACTGCAGGTGGGAAACAGTGCATACAGAGTGCAGTGCAAAAAGAGATGCTGTASACTAGCTGATCCAAGGAACAGAGCTAAGGAAGTAGGAAAGCATCGCTCTCCCAAGGGCCAGCTCCCACTGACTGATTTATCAAGTGACAAGTGACAGAATATCCAAGTAGCTGTTTCCCCATGGGATTGAGCTAGAAGAGAAGCAGATGTGAAGTGAAATCCCAGAATTACAAACCCCCAAATACAACAGACCTGCCCTTTACCAAATCTCTTCTCTGGCCTGAGCCTATGGCAAGAAGGCAAATGCTGGARCAGAGGGGAAGCAGACGGATATAGAGAATCCAAACACAGCAGATTTCACTGCTTCTTTTCAACAAAGGCTTTCAGCTCTCTCATATAAATCAAAACAACAGCGGAGGCCACTTCAACTGCCTCAAGAGATGTAAACCCAGGGCCCACTGCTGTCATGGGCCACCGAGAACACCTTGACCTACAGCTGGTGCCTGGCTTGTTTCTCRGCCAAATCCCCAGATTTTTGGGCCAGAAGGCACCAGTGCAATGACAYTTTGCATAACACATACTGCATATGATCTCATTAATCTGAATGCTGAACCCAGTATCTACTGAGGTTGAACTGAACATTWTTTTAAACAAAAATCTCTTCTCAGCTGAAACACTGAGAGGAAGAGAACCCAGCCTCTAAGAGCTAATAAGTAATTTCCCAAGGTAGCCTGTACCTGGAGATCCTGATCTGATCCCTACCCAGCCAAAATACTATTACCCACACTGGACACACTTCCTAACATCAGGTAAAAAAAAACCTCCTTTGCCTCTATGCTTAAGATGGCCTCAGAAAACAGGAAGAGGAAATGTTCCAAAGCGACTGACCCAGCCAAGTCAGAATCTCACATAACCTCCTCTTACAGCTAAGGTGAGTAATTAAGTTAAAGAAAACCCACCTGTCGATCTCACTGCTGGTTGGCCTGACCACTTTGGCTCCAGAGGAGCCTAAGGCAAAAGCCTCCTGGCCCAGCGATCCGTGGCCCGTGGTGTCGATCACCATGGCTGTGACCTCCTCAGCGCTGCTCCCATCTTCTCCCGAGGGCTGGTGCTCTGGCCCCAGCCACTCCTCCAGGTTCTCTGTCTTAATGCGCACTCCTCCCAGCACCCGAACATCCTCGTCGTTGCGGGCCCCACGCTCTCCCATCCCTGTCTCAACGTACCACTGTCCYGCTCTGTTAATCCGCAGGATGGGCTCCCTGCCTTCCACATCCGAGCTCTGCTCGATTATCTGGGGGCTGGTGGACTCCTCGGGTGGACTGAGCTCCCGAATGTCCAGCACGGTGCTAACCTGGCCCAGGCGACTCCCCTTGGGGGTGTTGTGACGTGGGCTCAGGGAACGGTTCAGATTTGGCGTCACCCGGTTAGACTCGGGTGGTCTCTCCTGATGCTTTGTCCTGGTCTGGCTCAATTCTGCTTCCACCTCGGCCACGTTAATTTTGAAATGAATCCCCTCGAGGATCTGCGTGCATTTGTCTATGATGTGCTGCATCTGCAAGAAACTGGCGGCTGTCAGGTAACTGATGATGTCAGCCAGCTGCAGACATATCCTGCCAGTGTAGCAGAAGGAGAGGAGCTGCTCGAAAACTGAAGGGTTCTTGATGACGGAGATGGACACAGTGCTCATCTCGTTCAGGGACATGTGGTCACGGAAGTAGGGCGAGCTGGCAGCCAGCACCACCTTATGCGCACGGAAAGCCTGGCCTTGCACGTTGACCACGATGTCGCACAGCCGACCCTGCATGCGCAGCTGGTTCAGGTGGCTCAGAACAGAGTTACTGAAGTCAGGAATCTCCAGCTGAATGTTCCCACTCTTCTCCATGGCTGTCCCAGCCTCAGATACACAACTCTGCTGGAAAAGGGGGAAAAGATCCCATCATTAGCAGAGCCAGTCGTTTGAATATAGAACATTTTTCACCTGCTTCCACACAGCTCAAAACACTAGGGTTTTTAGAGACCTTTCTCACCATTGAATTGCCACACACACCTGCCAGCAGCTCTCTGACCTCTCCATGATCTRCATCTCCCTGCAGAAGAGTTTTCCTAAACCAATCCCCAACAGACCCCCATTYCCCATGGCTTCAGCAAGCGAAACAATTCGTTCTGCCAGCCTCAATAAAAGCCCATCTGCATGTAAAAAGAACATTAAAAATGGCACAGGTACTAAAAATAGGCACCTAATTGCATAATGGATTAAAATACTTACCGTTTGTACCTTCTAAGCACTATTGAAAAGGGAAAGTAATAGGGGAAAGCTCCTTTGTAAAACAGAAACTGGGAAGGATACTCCGGGACCTAAATGCTCCAGGGASTTTTGAAAAGCTGGCCAGCACACACCTGACCTCAAGGCATCCTAAGTGCCTTGTTAACCTGAGATTTCCATCATGTGTGGCACTTCTGATGTGTGCCAGAAAATATGTAACAGGAGGGTGAAAAAAACCACTGCAGCCCAGGAGAGCTCAGAGGGCCTCACTCAGGATCACTTCTGTAGGGTCCCMAGACRATTGACTTTGGTCATCACTAAGTTYCCATCCTGGCCATATCCCAAGGCAGTAACTCCTGGACTYTCCCAAGTGCAATAACAACAGGACAATTCCACTCAGGCCGCAATTCCCAACAGTGCTGCTCCACTCAGGCTGCAACCTGGGTAAATGGTTTACCCAGGTTATACATGGCCCATCCCCTGTTGCCCACCTTGGCTGGGATGTTCCTGGTTGTTCCCACCTCTACCACACAAGAGCTCCTGGTAGGTTCAGGGAGCACCTCATGGTGTAGTTGGGGGGCCCTTCACTCCTCAGCCAAGTCTGCCAAGGTTTATCGGGAGACTACGAGAACTACAACAGCAAGGTCAGATATGGGGGGTAGGGGATGCACCACCACATCATCACATTTCATTTTGGCAAAGTTTGAAAATAAGTCCTGACCATATATGGTAAAAATCTGGAATGAACAAAAGTTAGACATAAACTCATCCAGAAAGAAAAAAAAAAAAAGTAAATATGCTTGTTTTAAAGCCTGCTTATGATATGAGTAGAGCCCAAGCTGGATGGCATCTGAAGTATGGATTAAGTAAAGTCCTGCAGATGGCAAAACCATTTCAGGCAGGCAGGGAATACCAAGRCTCACAATGCCCACTCCAAGGAATCCCTGAATTGAAGGGTTCGGCACACAGAAGAACATGTGTGGCTTCGGAGGACTTTTTATTTGAATTTTTGAGCATTGCAGCATAGCATATGTCCATAGGTCCAAGCAGGCTTTGTGCAAACTTGGCAAACCCAGTTACTAAACCTGAAGCTGCAGGACAGCCTGCCAATCTTGTGGAGTTGTGCTGAGGGATCACGGAGCAGTGGGATGGCTGCGTGTCCCTGGGAAAGTGAGACCGGAGTGCACAGAGCTGCACCAAGTGCAGCTGAACAGTGCCTCATCATAAGGCTTCTTCTCTCCTTCCCCTATTACAGAATCCCAGAATGGCTTGGGCTGGAAGGGACCTTAAAGCCCATCCTGTTCCACCCCCTGCCATGGGCAGGGACACCTTCCACTGTTCCAGGCTGCTCCAAACCTCATCCAACCTGGCTTTGGACAATTCCAGGGATTGGGCAGYCACAGCCTCTCTGAGCACCCTGTGCCAGGATCTCACAATCCTCCCAGTACCCAATCTAAACCTACTCTCTGTCAGTCGGAAGCCATTCCCCCTCATCCTGTCACTCCATCCCTTGTAAACAGTCTCTCTCCATTTTTCCTATAGGTTCTTTCCAGGCACTGGAAGGCCACAATTAGGTCACCCTGAAGTTTGTCTTCTCCAGGATGAACAACCCAAGTTCTCTCAGCCTTTCCTCAAAGCAGAGCTGCTCCATCCCTCTGATCATCTTGATGCCTCCTCTAGACTCGCTGCAACAGCTCCATGTCCTTCCCTATCTTTGGGAGAAAGCAGCAAACCCCACAAAAATGAGGGCACCACAGTGCACAGGTCTGTATCAACACAGYGCTGGGAGCAGAACATCAACTGTACAGAACAAGGGGAAATAGAAAACCCGACATCTTACCTGGAGTGCTGTGAGTTACATGCAGTGGGGAGGAAATGGGGGTGTTGCCTTCTTTTCTTTTTTTTCTTCTGATGTAGCAAGAAGGTCTGAAAACTTGTTGCCCCCTTCCCCTTTAGGAGGTAAAAAGAAAGAAAAAAATGAAGTGTGCAGGAATTGGGTTCTCCCAAGCACGTCATAAATGTCAAGCYTTGTCATTCTTGGTTTTGCCAAGAGGATCTAGCAGCAGGATTAGCTCACCATCTTGCCAAAACACTTCTTCCTAAAGCAATGAGCCCCAGAGCACTCTCAAGGAAGGCAAGRGTGAAACACCTCTGCCAAGGCCATGAGCATCCAAAGGAGCAAGAAGGAGGCACATACAGAAAGAGAAGGAAAAAACCAATCATCAGAYCTTAATGGTCAGAAGGCAGCTGCTCCCCAGGGAGCCCAAAGTAAGTGAGCTCCTGCTCCAAAGGCAGGGGAAATCCATCTGCTCTTTATACTCACAGAGTTCTGCCCACCTCAGTATTAAGGAACCTGTGCGTTATGATCCACTCAGAGGCTGGCAAGAGGGAATTTGTCTTTCGGTTCAAACTACCCTGTCAGAGGCTGATTTCTGTCCCCCTGCATAATGACCTCTCGTCAGCTTCTGCACCTCAGCCACAATGACAGGGCAATGACATCCTGATTTCTCTCTTCCCTGGGGAGTCCATCACCWGCACCCACCTTTACCTGCAGGCTGAGCTGAGTGTCGGCACAGGGCACACACTGAGACACTGCTGTTTCTATTGCAATATGAAGTGTCACCAGCTGAGACTTGGACTTTACTTATCTCAGCAAATGCCTTCCAGCCTGTGAGGCAGCTACCAAGAGCAGGAGAAATTTCTGATCCATCAGGTAAAAAGCAGAGACAGACCACACTGCAGATGATGTCACCCTGAGAGCTACACTGAAAACTCTCCAGTTTTGGTTTGAGATTTACCGTGACTGGGCAACTTCATAGAATCAGAATATCCTGAGCTGGAAGGGACCCACAGGGACCACCGAATTCAACTTCTGGCCCTGCACAGACACCCCAACAATCCTATCCCTGAGAGCTCTGTCCAAATGCTCCTGGGAGCTCTGGCAGCCTCGGGGCTGGAAGCATTCCCTGGGGGGCCTATTCAGTGCTCGACCACCCTCTGGAGGAAGAACCGTTTCCTGATACCCAAACTAAACCTCCCCTGACACAGCTCCAGCCGTTCCCTGGGWCCTGTCCCTGGTCCCAGAGAGACCTACTTAAAATCCCAGATTGGTTTGGGTTGGAAGGGACCTTAAAACCCATCCCGTTCCACCCCCTGCCGTGGGCAGGGACACCTTCCACTATCCCAGGGTGCTCCAAGCCCCAGTGTCCAGCCTGGCCTTGGACACTGCCAGGGATCCAGGGGCAGCCACAGCTTCTCTGGGCACCCTGTGCCAGGACCACCCCCACAGGGAACAATTTCTCCCCAACAAACCTACTTGGCTACTTACACATTCCAACGGGACTCCGACAACGATGCAACCAAATAGAACKCTAAACTGTGACGAGCGGCCGTGGCTTCTCGCTCGTCCCCTCCCCGCCCGCAGCACCCGGCTCAGAGAGCTCGGCGTCTCCCCGCCCCATCGCTCCCGGACCCTCCTCCCGCGGAGCCCGCAGCTCGCTCTGACCCGTGACAGCCGCGCCGGGACGCCGGGACACCGCACCGGGACTCCGCGGGGCAGGCGGAGCCAACCTCCCCCGGCCCCCGCCCTTCCCACCCTCGGCCCCGCGAGGCGGCGGCCGCGCCCCCGCCCCCCGCCCCCCGCGCCTCCGCGGCGCCTCCGCGGCCCCGCCCGCCCCGCCCGGCCCGGCCTCACCTGCCGGGGGTGGGAAGGGCCCGCAGCGCCGGCCCGGAACCGAAACGCGCCAGCGCGGGCCGCGCCCCGGAAGGAAACGCCGTGCGGACCGTGAGCCTGCGCCCCGCCCCTGTCCGGGGGACGTCGGCACCACGTGACTTGTCCTATATAARGGACGGGCACAGCGGTTTCTGTCTCTTCCGCCCCTCGGTGCTGGTTGCGTTGGTTCTGTGGTGCGGCACCGCTGGTGAGTGGGGGCGATTCCCCGCCCGGAGTGCGGTGGTACCGCTCCGGGGGACGGCGTGGGGGCCCCGCAAATGCGGGTCGGTCGCCCATGGGCGGTGGCGGGGGAGGATTGAAGTGGATTGCGCCGCCGGGCCTGGTCCGCGGCCTAGACCGCCGGAAGCTCTGCCTCGTGGCGGCCCTTGGGATGTATGAGGAGGGTCCCATGGGAAGGGGATCCTGTAGAGTCCCACATGGTTTTGGGAGAGGAACAGCTCAGGGTAATACTTGGCATTACTTCAGGTGTGGAATTACGGGGTCTTGCCTACTAGCCTTTTACCCCAAGGTGTGCTGCCGTAATATGGCGAGGTCACGTGCCCTCTGTAAATACGACGATAAAGCTCCGGTTTTTGTGAGTTTGGATTTTTTACCTCTGCACTGGCCTCTGAGGAGGTTGTTTTTGCAGATAAATTTGAAAGGTTGTGTAAAATGTAGTAGTGCTGCGGAAGGATTAAGAATTCCCTTCACAGCCCCAAGGCTGCCAGGCCTATTTGGACAGCGCTTTCAGGCACATGCTGTTACGCCTGGCGACAGTCCTGTGCAGGTCCTGTGAGTTGGGCTCGATGGTCCTTGTGGGTCCTAACTCAGCACGTTKGAAGAGAAATGGCTCACTGCACTTCTATATGCTCTGCACATGATGAGAACTATGTTGGTAGGGACATCTGAGAGGGTGATGAATGCCAACATATCTGAGCTGGGCATGCAGTAGTTATGATAGCCTCTCGGGGATGGCTGAGACACCACGTGGGCTTTTCTAAGCAACCAGAGTTAACATTTGCCGAACCTGAGCCGGTGATTATACACCAAAGTCGAAGCTGTGGAAAGCAAAATAGTTTAGTGATCACTTCCGCTTAAAAATGCRTAATAGCAGTTACTTTTTTGTAGCTTCATTTCTTCAAAGAACAGAAAATCAGGTTGCATTAGGAGAGAGCTTAAGACTCGGGAGTATTTTGGCTATTGCTTGGATCTTTCAAAGTAAAAATTGTGCATAATGCATCCTTTTTGGAAGAAGAAAAACTAATACGCTTTCTTGTTTTCAGTTCAACATGTATCAGCTACACTCTTCCTTGTCTTCGAAACAGGTAAATGTTGCTTCTGAAATACAGAGTCTTAATTAAGAAATGTTGGATTCGTGTACACCAAAYTAGACTGGAGTACTGTTTTATCAGGGAATTACAGGAACAGCAGTTGTACTTCAGTAATTGCCTGTACTGTGTTGGGTAAGCCTCTATTTTCTGCCGGAAAAAGTCACCTGTTTGTCCTGGAGAGTGTTGACAAGGCTCCTGTTGTTTCTGAACCACTGCTCATCCTGTAACCAGACTGCAAGAGTACCCTGGATCCCTTTATTCTTCCTTTACTACCGCTTTGCTGTTTACAGCAGTTATTGATGTTTTGGGAAAACTGCCTGGGGTGTGTTGTAGAAAATGTGTAACTATGAGGAGTGAAGTTAAGTAAATCCAGAGCCTATGATGGTTTCAATATAAGAGTAGTGGACAGAAGTGATTTCTGAAAACTCCATGCTGAGGCTTTCTAATATGCTTGGTATGATTGCTCGTGAAGCTCCCTTGTTCTGCAAACATCTTTAAGTATTTCATCTCTTCCAGATCTGCCCTCAAATATGGAGACTTGATGCTACTTTTTCCCAAGGTAAAAAAAATTCTTTATAATCAGACATAGTGCCTAGTGTTTGTCTAAACAGCATCTTCTGCTCTGATAACATCAGAAAGCAGCTTAATTCCCTGATCAAAGCTTTCCCTTTGGTGCCAGAGTGATGACACTTATTTGCTACTCTTGACCAAGAGAGTGATGAGCACTTTTACCACCATACCAGATTTCTGAGGCACAACAACTCAAAATTCCCCTCAGTGTTTCGACAGCTGAATATACTGTTAACAAGTTTCTTCTTCCAGGATTTGAATCCTGCTCTTGGGAGATGTGCAGAAGGAATATCACCCGGTAAGAAATAAGCTCTTTATGTATCCTCTATGTGTCTTCCACAGAGTTTAAGCACTTCAGTAAGAAGGGTGGAGTGTGTTTGAGGATGAATTTCCACTAAGACCAGAAACAATTTATACTTGATAGTATTCAAATTCTCATGCATTTTTTTTTTTAATGGGAAAACATTTCAAAGCAGTCACAAGAGGTGATTGCCTGGTATTACAATTCCAAAGCAGATACAGTGATGAAGGCATAGTTCAGCAGAATATCTCCTGATGAACACTTCTGTGCTTCGCCCCTATCTGATGTATCTGGCTCTTGTGGTCTCTCAGTAGGAGCTGTGGGCTTGGCCATAAAGGCTGAAGGGATCTGATGTAGTTTTCTGTTTTTGCAGGCACTGGGAGATGAAGCTATAAGTTGTACAAGGTAAATACTGCATTGCCTCCATCTGTGAAAAGTTGTTTCTATCTCCTACCTGGAAAGGCTGCTGTGTGATGACTGCATAGTTCAGCAGATGACCCGTGGTGATCACAGTTACTGTCTTTTGCCTACTGTCTGATGCAGCCTGTAGCTTAGGCTATTTTAAACAAATCACGTGGGAAGTTTAAGGTGAAATACTTCCTTTTGCTCATGAATGTGTTTTGAAAATTCATCTCAGAATACCAGTAGGTTAAACAGAAAAATAAAGTAGGACGTGCTTGTGAAATCGGGCACAAAATACAGAATACAGTTAATCAAGTGTTAGTGCCCCAGGTTTTAAAAGTGTTTTGTTGCTTTGCAGGCTGCCCTGCACAGAGGAGTCCAGTTCCTCTTGTGTGAGAAACGTCTTCACCAATACCAGTGAGAGGTGAAATAAAGGCTTTCCTAATTGAAGGTAATTAATAAGCTTTTATTTCTTAGATAAATGCTGCTTTGGTCTGAGCTCAAATAATTGTTTTGTTAAGGATCTCTTGAATTTGGCTGTTGAAACGAAATGGCGAATGCCACAGTACTGTGCATTTTAGTGTCTAAAATGGTTTTTCTGGTTTTGCACAACTTGGATGGCTACGCAGAGCTCATGTCGCTGAGTTCTGCAATTAAGAGGTTTGCTTGTTCCCACAATTTCAGCACTCTCTGGAGTAAGAGAATTAATGTCTTATATTGTAAAAGTGTGCTGGGAACTAGATTTACAGGCTGCCTTCAGAAGAGGATTGAGAGTGTTGCAGCCTACTGTAGATGATGTTGAATCAGGTCTCTGATCCCCATGAGGATAAAACTTGACCAAACTCTGATACAGTATTTTGCTGGAACTGTTCTTACACTGTAACTTCATCCTGAACCCCACCTAATTGCAAATTACTCTTTGCAGGCGTCCGGATGTTTCTCTTTGTGAGGTAAGTACTTGTTTTAACTTGCCAAGTATTAGCRTTTTAACATATGCCCAGAAGTTAAATATTAAGTGCTTGTCTGCTACAGCAAAAAGGGCAAGGGCCCATTGGCTGCTGCTTGCATCTCAGCCAAAACAGGAGGTCGTTATGAAGGGGAACTGTTCTCTGAAGCCCAGTCTTGTCGGCGATAAGTGCTGAAGTCCTCATTGTGAGCTCTTGAATTGGCTCTGATGGCCCTATTTGAGATTGTGCCCTTTTACCCATAGGAGGGCTGTGCAGGAGGCTGACAGTGTAAGCTGCATGTGTGATGAGCTGTGACTGCCTTGACTTCAATCATGGAGGTCTGCAATTAGCTCTATCTGACTGCAGGCACCTGACTTGCATTTCATCCTCCTGTCCTTGTTTCTGTACTGTCCTGATGGTTTGCTTTGTTCCAGATGTGCTGGAACTGGGACGTGATGCAGCTAGTAGTGCTGCCAGCAAAAGTAAGTAGCTAACACACRAGTGTGGCAGGTCAGAACTGTGATACAGGGAGTGAGGAAGTTACTAGACTCTGGCCTTTTAATTACTGTGCAGCTACAGCATTAAACAAGGTTCTTGATAATTTTATTACCTTTGTCAGGTAAAAGTCCCACAGGTTTGCCAGCAGCCTGCAGGATTGACTCACTCAAGGTGCTGCATATCTCATACTTGAAATTAACTTTCTGTAACTAAGAAGAAATAGCAGGGACCATTTTAAATGTAGACCTACTGTAGACTACTTGAATTCCTTATTGGTGAGAAAAGCTCTCTGCTGGCAGGTTGCCACACATTCTGTGCTGAGCAAATGCAGTACAATTAATTGTTMAACTTGCTAATTAAATTTAGTGGGCTCTTTCAGGGTGTAACAATCATCTTGAATGCTTACGTGGTGAATTGTCTTGGTGGCTAGATCAGAGCTCTTAGGGTGATGTGAATCAGGGTGTGGTTGGGAGTAAGATCTGAAATGCTCAAGTCAATTGACCCTTTAAGCAGAGTCAAGGGATACAACATTAAGCTGCTCTAAGCAGCAGTGTACTGTTTGTGATGAATTCTAAGCAATGGGAATCTCTCTGAAAGGCTGAGGAGAACTGTTGTGCTGAAACAGTACCCACATTCACACACTAAGATCACTGCCAAGAGGAGTATGTTGGTACAATTTCACTTCTTTGTAGGGTGAAGCTTGTGTGGAGTTTGTGTGAGAAACAAAGACTGGTGCATCCGAGGTAATTGTAAAGTACCTGGGATTTAATTAYTTTTGGAATACTGTTTTTGTGCTGAATGCTTAGATTAATGGTGCTGAAAATTAGTCCTCTAAGGTAGCTGATTTGTCCTCCGTTTATTGTATCTGGCTGTTSTGTGGGCATCACTGTAACAGTGCACTCTAGAATTTAAACAAAAAAAATGTCTATGCTGTGGCTGTCACTTCTCAGTACTAAACTTTTCATTGGCTGTACACAAATTTGGATCAAGTTCTGGATGATCGCTATTCAAACTTGTTTCCAAACAAACTGGTTCTCGCTTTCAAAAATAAAAACCATCTTGAAAAGCTATAGGACTTGTATTTTAGGTATTTAAAATAAGGAAACAAAACTTTCTGTTGGACGAGACASTACCACAAAGCAAAGTAGTAGCTTTATACTCTTCCCCAGTCATTCCAATGTTATTAATTCTGTATTTCCAGTTCAGTTAGCATTTTTAAGCTTCGTGTATCRTATTTGGGTGCACAAGTCGAACTTGTGAGTTGTCAGCTGGAAGTCACCTTCCTTCTAGGTAAAATAGTTCGATAAATAAAAAATTAATAGATAATTAAACTTTGCATGTAGCACTGTTTGTTATTCTGAAAGAACTTCTCTCTTCCTTAGGAAAGGACTGCACTGCCTGCAGCMTCTCTGGGTAAGTCCGCACGACATGAATTATATTAGAAAATTCTGGGAATATTTGTAGCCACTGATGAAATTGATTCTGCCAAATGAATTACTGTGATATGACCCTTTCCGTTCCACTTTCCTCTGAGGTTACAGAGTTGTTGTGGAGCTTCTACAGTTGTGCTACTGCATGTGCTAACTGTGTTTTCTTGACTTAGGTGAGGAGGCAACTCTGAAACTGTTGTATGAAGAACTGAGAACGTGAGTATAACTGCTGTAATAATGAAGTTTATTTGTTGGAACAAGTGATGATAACCTTAGCTTGAACTCTCTCACTGAACAGAGATGAAATTCTAAGGTCTGAGATGTTTCCAACAAGTGTCTTGTGCTGATTCAGTACCTTATAATGATTCTTCTGTCTGTCTTACTAGGTGGAAAATTGCTGATAAATGGGTTACGCTTGCATGAACAACATTAGAAAAGCTGTGTTTTTTTCCGCACTGGTAACGTTTGCCTGACATTGAAGCCAATAAAAATCTGCAAACTCTACCTGTTCTTGTGACCTCCTTTCTTAATGGAACAACTTCTGTAAAACAGCTCCAGGCTACTGTATTAAAATTTTAAATGCTTGATTTAGGGAAAGGACTAAACTAGGTCAAAGGCTAGTCCTGCAAGTGTCTTAACTGAGATGGCAAATACTGCTGGTGTGCAGGCTGTAGGTGACCTGACCAATACCCATATTTGGACAAAGTAATTTAAGGAGCAGTTCAAGTGTTTCAGGTGAGAGCTAAATTTACTACTTGTATATTTGTGACTAAAATAATAGGCCACCAGCAATCCTRGTATTGCGTGTTCAGGTGCAGATCTTCTCAGAACAAGTGTGCAGCCTGGTCTTGGTAACTCTTTGCCAGGGGGTTCTGGATTTGAGCAACACAACATTTGGCCTTGATGAGGGAAAAGAGCTCAGTGTAGAAGTGGGAGATTTTGGTAAAATGACTATGGCCTGCTAAGATGCATCATCTTCCTAATGCTCATTGATGGAAGCTTTCTTTATAAAATTTGATTCCTCCCTTGTCGTAGGGGTGATGTTAATGTGAGAAAGTCAGCTCTGTGAAGAACTTCCCTTTCCATAACACTACAACTAGTGCTGTAGCACTTGTAATGAGAAGTAAAGCTGGATATCCAAACTGTTCAGCGGTATTGTCAGAATATTCGCATTGCCTAGAACCTTACAATATGAGGAGTAAGTTTGTTATATCTCCCACTGCACCCAACACAATCTTGAATTACATTTCACACTGTTTTTAGCCAGAATAGTGTTTCATTGTAGAGAAAATTAATTAAACATTGTGTCCATGTGCAAATTAAATCTCTGCACTAAAGCAAAAGCCATTAATAACTGTTTTCCTCCAGAGCTGATTAGTAGCCTCTTCATATTCCCCCCCATTCATTTTATTTCTTAAAATACCATACTTCGTTGTGCCTGTTAAAGAGCTTGAAGGGACTGTCATAGCCTGCAGTATAGAAGAAGTCTTCGTGGAATGGTTGGCCTCTGTTTCTTAAGGTTCTAGCCAAGGCTTCGGCTTCTTCAGCATATTTCTCTGGAGAGGCAAATCCACCAAAGGACCTAGTAGGAAGTAAAATAGTAAGATATTTTGGTTCAAACCCATAGTTAGTAGATGACCTATGCAGAACTAGGTGTCAGGCAACATGGAGGTATTTATGCTGCTTTCAAAGGTAAGGTTTAAGAAAACACCAAAGTTGCCTTTGATTCTCAAGAGTGTTCACACAGGCCAGGTGTTGGTTTGGGTTCTTTTCCTGTGAAAACTGCCGTGTACCTGTTGTGGCAGTACAGGATCGACCACAAATGTAGGCTGCTGGAAGAGTGGTTTAGATGTTCAGTAGCACTCTTTGGAGGCTGCATCTCTATGAAACTCAAAACGATTTTTAAGTGTTGGCTAAAAAAGGTGTTTTACAGCTTGGTCACTTTGTGGTTCAGACACCAAGCGTAACGTTTCTTAATTGTTGGRTTTTAGCAATTAAAACTTAAACAGCAGGATATATCCACACTTGGAAATCATCTGTAAGAATGTGTAGCCCACACTTAGGGCAACTACTGAGCCGGATTCATGGTTTTACTTACCGGACAAAAAGAGCTGCTGCCTTCCGTTCCTCAATGAACACATCGGAGTCTGTGGGCTGGGGTGGGGAGTCCTGGTGTTCAWATGGCACAAAGAAAGAGATCTTGAAGTCTGTGCAGCCAGATTTTACCAGGCAGGTCACTGGCACAGTCATGTCAATCTTCATTTCTAGAGGAAAGGAAAAGCAGTTGTCAAAGCTACATTCCCCAGCTCCTCTACTGTTCTGTGTTTTTGGGTTCATTAGCTACTTCTTTCCATTCAAACCCAACATATCCTACCTTTTTCATTCTTTCCCTGGATGTAGTGGAAGAGTTTCCAGAAGCCCTGGCGCATTGCTTCCTTCTGGGTTTCCCCCCTAATTACTGTGCTGACCCATTTTGCTGTCTCATATTGACGCAGTTCATAGTCCTTTGCCTGAAAGGTAGCAAAAGTCACAGTAACCATGAGATGGGTGTTGACTGAAATTGCTAGCTACTTTTCCAAATCGGCAAGCAAGTATTGTTGCAGTTACCATTGTCTCTGCTGAGCTCCACCGTGGGGACTGCAGGTCCAGGGACAGAAATGTTTGCTTGAAGGATTTGATCATCTTGTTGGAGCTGAAAGGCAGACACAGTTCATTGGCATCTCTTAAMTCAGTACAGCTCAGTTGTCACTGAACCGGTGCAAGGCCTGAAAAAGGGTTGAAATACTTCTAGCCCTGCAGGAACGGCACCAGGATGAAGAAACTACCTCTACTGGAGAAGATGCCCTTTCAGGGTATGCGGCCCTTGATTCTCCATKACAAAAAGCGTTTCCTGACAGCAGAGTTTCTGCAAGTGGGAGTTTTGTGGAAATCTCTAAGTAAAAAAGGACTTGTATTTGCTCCTCGTGAAAAGGCACTAAGTAGTATGGTTGATCTGGTATTGACTGTACCCTTGACTTTATTTGGCCTGGTGATAAGTAATGATTTTCTTAAAGGCCTATAGCTTCAGAGTCATGTGGATAAATTAGATTTTGTGCAYTCATGAAGAACAGTTTTGCTCCATAGCCTTCATATGGGTGGAAAAAGGTGAAAACTTGAAAACRCTGTCCCAGACAAAGCAAATGAAAATATTCAAAACCACTGTTGAAATAATCAGATCTGGTTAAGTGCTGAGATATGACTTCTGTTACATTACAATGTCCCTTGGTCTTCATGTTGAAAAGAGAGCACATAATCAATTCAGTGAATACCTAGATTCTTAGGTCATAATATGTAATCTCAGACTACAGCGTAATTACCTGGTTTTGGGTAAAAATGTGAGTTTTGTAAAATCCACTTCTTTGTACTACTTTACTTTCTTGCCTGTTCTACTTGCAATATCTGGACTTCGGTCAAATAGTACTAGTCACSCTCCATTCTCTGCTTAGAGGTGGCTGCAAAGAGTTCTTGGGATCTGAGGTTGAAAAGTTTTTATTAAAACACMAAAAAAAGTGCCCCAAACTCTCTTAGCATTGATATCCTGTAGAATTCTTAAAATAAGTAGTGCATAAGGAGTCACTTGCATGTTGAGCCTTTTCCAGCAGCTCCTTCAGTTTTCCCCACAGATCAAAGGAATGTCAGAACCAAGCAGCAGGATACTGGTGCCAGKAGCCTTCCCTGTCCCAGCCTGAAGGTGCATCATTTCCAGCTGACCAGTGTGGTGGTCCCCAGGGACTGCTGCACTGTTGTACTCTACTAATAGGCTACCATTAAAATTAATGGTATTTGCAAATCATATTGCAAATGGTATTTGCAAAGCATAACAAAGCAGGAATCTATATTATTAAATGTAAATATGAGCAATACACTGAAACTTCCTACAATAATTTATTACTGCTTCAAAGACAAAGATGCTACTTTGTTGTCTCTAAACTTCCTCTTTGCTACAAGGTGATAGAAAATACATTCCTCCTCTTCATGTGCTCCCTGGGTACTTGAAGAAGCAGAGTAGTACATGTTTTTAACATCTGTAGTAGCTACTGAAAAAGCTGGTTCATCTCTGCTCTCTAATTCCAACCCCTTCCCAACACTTTTTTTAATGGCTGGGTAGATCTCACAGCTCTGGCTTATGGCTAATACTGTCAGTGACTGCAGGTAAGAAATACRTTTTGATTACATAAAACGGTGCTTTGGGATGGGAGAGACAAACAAGAATCCTCCAGATACTTGCAGTTGCATTCATTTTAGATRTACAGGAAAGCTGAACTTTGACATGTCCATCTATTTGTATAATTATGTCTATAGGGTATTTAGGTTTTTCTGCAGCTCTTAACACAGGGGCCAGAGGGACAGATAGCAGGTTACACTGCCAGTAAGTGTAGCCAGAAAGTGCCGTTCCACAAGCTCCTAGTGCTATTAAGAAAGTGGAGAAAGTAGACATACTCACGTTTTCAGCTGTCCTTGTCCTTTTAGCTGTTGCACTCTGTGCTGCGAAGGCTGTACATCCTCGTAAGATGCTGCATGTCCGTGTTTATTTGAGTTTGGGCAAGCTCCTCCCATGCCTCAGCCCTACTGGAGGGGGCTACTGTTATGAAAACCAGAAGGCTGGAGACTTGTCCTGCTCTGGATCTCATTGGAGAGCTCCCACGCAGATGCCAAAAGCCCCACCTACTACCCACGAGGCAACACTGGGACCAGTGTGTGATCTGGCTCCGTAAACAGTTTTGCACCCTTGTGTAACTTCCTCTGGTTGCTATGGCTGTGTGCCTGCTTATGTCAGGGTCAGTGGCAGGTTTTGTGCTTTGGGAGAAAGGATATCAAGTAAATAACGTGTGTGTCGTCCTTTCCCCCCTAGCTCGGATTACAGGAGAGTGTTGCTGTACAGAATGCCAGCTTTTCCTTTTTACCCTGTGGGTAAAGGGTAGGTAGAAATCTGGCTGCACACTCTGCTGAGACCATCCTCACGAGATTTTTGCTGGCATGTTATGAAAGACAGATAGTGTTCTCTGATGGCTGGCTGTTCTGAGTGGTATTTGAGGCTAATCAGCCCTCTTAGCCCTTGGATATCTGCACAAAGGGGTTATACAAAGCTATTGTGAAATCCTGTCCTGCTTATAATACACACAGCAAAGCTGGTCTCTTCATTTAACCAGCTGCAGCTCCAGACATAGTTAGGTACCAGCACAATAGGGCAGATTAGACTCCACAGTTTGTATTCTGAGAACACCTCCCAGTCTGTCATGGTTTGTGCAAATTCCTTGCAGCCAAATTCAGCTAAGCTCTCGGGGACATTTGACATCATTAGCTGGGAATGACTTTTAACAGGAAACACACTTTGCTTGCAGGGAACTTCATCAGGATGCTGTGTGATACACTCCTCTTCTGAAAAGGGAAATAAAACCATGCCAAATRGTGATTGTGAATTTATCTTAAAGCCACAAAGCTCTCCAAAGGTACAGAAGAGGGTGGTGTATACAGAGTCATTTACTACTGGGGTTTTATTAGAACAGGCTGGGGCCTGAAATGCAGAACCAGTTCTCTGTATGCTTTGTACTTTATTTTTTCGTAAAGTGTTTCTCAGTTTTCCCTGTGCTTTGCTTGGGTCAAACAGGAACRTTTAGGAAGGTCTTTGGGAGCTACAGGCATGCAAATGCATGGGCTGGTGTAAGGTGAGCTGTCACCTTACTTTGTCACCTTAGGGATGCAAGTGTTTTTGAACACACCCAGAGTAGGGAAGGCTGTGTGAAAAGTAATACCCCAGCATCAGGAGTTAGGCAAATCTCCACAGATTTACCCCRATGATGAGCACTGAGAAGAAGGGTGGGAGTTGCTTTGTAGATAAACACAAGCCCACAGTGGATTCTCATTTGGTTTCTGAAGCAGAAAGGCCCAGAACAAACCTCCAGTGAGTTTGTATGTGTCCAGCTGATGTCCCTAACAAAGAGTTGACTGTTCCTGGTGGAGCACCCCCGGGCTGGAGAACAATCCTTAGTGTTTTCCCGAGGTTGTTTTCCAACACTCTTGTTTTTACATATAAACATTGGGAGAACATGTCAACAGCTGCATGAGACAGAGGCAGGCATGGGGACATATATTCTGTTTATATACATTCCAAAACTTAAGGAATGGGGATGGGACTATGAAAGCTGAAAGTCTCACTAGGACCTCCAAAGAGTGTGCAGCAGCCAGCCATGGCATTTAATGTCCATTAAGTCATTTAACCATCAAAGGCTCTGTGACACCTCGGTGTAATGTTATAAATATGCATCTGAGACTTGGCTAATGTTTTCTAAAACATTTGACAAAGCAGTATTTTTCTTTACCCTTGCCTTAAGGAGCAGACATGAGGGCACAAGCACATAAAAGCCCTGGTTTGTACCTTAATTTTACTRTCTTAATCTCTGCAGCAACACTGTAATGAGCTGATACTTAAATAATAGCTTTGATTGGCTAAGGGTGAGGACAAGCCTGTGATACACTCACTTGTGATTTCCACTTTTCCTCTCTGTAGAAAGACCTTAAGCAACATTCTCCACAGCAGAGCTGCTTCCATCTGCTCTGTGGCAGCATTACAATCACTGCTGTCACATCCATGCAGTTGTGTTTTAAGTTACCTTTATCCCTAGAGGCAAGCACAGACTGTTTGCACAAAAAGCAGGAATCTTTTTCCACTGACCTAATTATGTCAGGACTGTGGAGGAACCCAGAGGAAAAAGTGTATTGTTATAGTGTGGTTAATGATAACTTTGAGTCAYGTTCTTATAGCTGACAAGTCTGTGGTGTGATATGAAGAGTGGGGGTGTGAGGGACAGACAGAGATGTGTGGCCACTCACATGSTTTATCGAGTGGTCTCAACCCAAAGCTCCAGGCAGTTTTGCCTTGCTGCCTAAGCCTGTCAGGGAATCTTTGACAATGAGGGTAATTTAAAAGAACTGAGTCGTCACATATAAATGGCTTTTACTTTTGTAAACATGCACTCGTCAGATGGTGCAGAAACCTCACTCTAAAACAAAGGAATTGAGMATGTGATGTTACTGTAATTACTGTCGAGGGCAGCAAAAATGTCTTTATATGTTGTTAAAAGAATTGTGGTTTACTGCAGATTCATCTCCCAAAAGAAGCSTCTTACTGCCTTGCTCTAAAGCCTCCATTTTACATCATATTCTCACTTCCAGCATGGAAGRTGAAGAAGCATAAGTGCTCAATCTTTTAAAGAAGCAGCTGAATGTGCTGGAGTGCATTTCCAAGTATATTCCTTATTATTCTTTGAAATTGTGGAAAGGAAATCTATACCGTAATTGCAGTGAGGTGGTGTTAGATCTTATGCTCTCGYCTTCGTGTTTTATATCAGTGAGGGAATTCGTTACCATTGGATTCATCTTCAGCCAAAAATCATCTGCKTTCTGGAAATGTATGTGTGGATTTTGTACACATTTTTGACAAATTCCAGTGACACACGAAACTACTGCATCTGCCTGCTTACTCAGTGACAGTGTTATCTAAATCTTGCTGAATTAGTCGTTCCATGCTCACTTCATCAGAGAAGGCGTGGAACTGGCTGCTCTTAAACAAATGAAAAGCTTCCTACACCCAACACCGCTCCAGAGCACTCCTGACTTGGCATTTTCCAAGATTTCTCTGCTGAAGCTCACATTTTGAAACYCGTTCAGGTTTTGGGATTTAATTCTAAATGAATCCTTGCTTCCAGCTGCCATTAAAAAAAAACATTATAAAACCTTCCTGTCTTCTGTGCATGGAGTGCAGACAAAAACTATCCCAGCTTTGTATACTGCTTTGTTCACTGGTTTATTTCTGTAGTAAAGGTTATTTTTAATATGGAGCTGGTTTGGGATCTAGCTAGAAACTGAACTCCACAAACAATTGTCTTGGCGAACTTCTTTAGCTAGTGAAAGAAGTTTCCTAGATCCACAGAAACTTCAGTCCTCTCTCTCTTAGTGCTGAGAGGAAATGAATTCATCTTCCCCTACAAATTTATGTGTATTCTGCTATTGACAGATTCTTCTCAGAAACAATAATATGAAACAAGGTAAATTTCTATCTTCAAGATAGGAACATCTCATTAAGGGAAAGAGGTAACAGTGCTTGCTAGGAAAAAAAAAAAAAAAAAAAAAAAAAAAAAAAAAAAGCCTTGACACAAATTTACTGCATTGCTATTTTTGCTTTTTTTCAAATGGTGTTTAAAAGTTACTTGAGCCTAAAGTGAGAGAGAATACCTTGTTTGCAAACACAGCTCTGAAGAGGAAACAGCTTTCTGGGCAGGAACACAGTGGGCTCTGCATTTTCTTTCTTTGATCCCCCTTTCCCAGAGTTTTAAGGTGATCTTTCCCTTCTCCTTCACYGGCTTTGGCCCCCTCCTTCTCTGCCTTTCTCCCTGTCATTCTCCACCTGCTCCASTCTATGTGCTTCATGGAGTGAGACCACATGGCAGCTCCTCTACCCAGGACCTGGGTTAAGCTCCTGACTCTGCTGAAGGGTTGTTCTGAAATGATGGGAACAGCCCCACAAGTCTGAAAAAGACACAGAAATTGCCCTAGAGTGCTCAGGGTTTCCCTGTGTAGTCCCAAGAACCTGAGAACATGTCCACAGATTATGGAAACAGGCCCAGAGAGTGGGGATTAATACGTTACAGAAATTATTTTTCTTAAAATAATAATTCCTACTTCTTCCAAAAAGGCATGAAGAGGTGACTGGAACAGAGGGTTTGTCTCCCAAGCCTGTTCCTCATCTTACTGGCATGAGTGTGGATCATAGCAGAACTTCTCCCATCTTCTGGCAGCAGGGATGTTGGTAGTGGGGGGTGTGGGAGTTTGGTGGGCAGTCACGATGTGAGGAAGGCCTCCAGAGACTGATTCTTSAAGAAGCCGATGTCTCTTCCCATCCGTTCCCAGAATGAGCTAATGCTGCGCTCTGCAGCAGATGGCACTGTTGGTTGTGTTCAGAGGTGAGCTTTAYTTGGATGGCAACACCCCTCACACTCTTGGCTGTCAGTGATCACTTCGGCTTCAATGCACCTTGATAGTTCTGTTTCCAGAGACATAAATTTGATTATACTCTTGTTGACTGTTAATGGCTATGAGGAGCCATTTTAMTCTTGGTTTGCCTCAACACTGCTTGTTAGAGGCATGTGGGAGAAGGAGCACACATGTGCTGCCTGCAGGAGGCAAAACAGGAGATGGGTGAAGCCTTGTCTCTGGGGTGACTTCGCCTGGCAACACCTCAGATGGGCACCTRGAGACACTGCTCCCCCCAGTGACATTTCTCCAATCAGATGGTGGAAGGGTTCCACCAATGGAAGAAGCCTGGACTGGACCAATGGTCTCCTGGTCAGCAGGCAGACTTTGGGAGGAGCCGGGGGGATAAAAAAATCAATTGCACCATGAGCATTTGGGGAGCTGAATTCGGGAGTTGAGTTTTCGGAGCTGAGTTTTGAGCAGCTGGACTTTGGAGCTGGACTTCGCGGACTTTGCTGAGCTGGAGTTGGGGGTGGTCCTCTGTCTGTCTCTATGCATGTGGCTGGGTTTTTTTGCTCTTTGTTGCTCACTGCTGGTGGGCTTGCTGCTGAGGGATCCTTTTTGTCCTGGCTCCAGCCTGCTTGGATTTTGCCCTTGCTA